TCGTCAGATCGGATTGGGTCGCACTCGTGCTGCAGTCGCCTTTCGGGTCACGTGCGCCCCGGTCTTTTCCTTCATCCTCCAGGCCCATCCCATCTCATCGGAGCTCTTAACGTGTTACCGCGAATCGGTTATGTGCCTTACGGCAGGCCCTCGCAATGCCGCAATGCGTTCTCGTACTCTTTTCGCACCCAGCTTCGGAAGATGCAGCTGCCTGCCGAACTCTTGGGCTTGGTATGTCTGGCTGAGGCGACACGCCTGAGGTATATGATGAGGAATGATTGGACCGGCGCCGTTTTCGACCATCTTCGTTCGCTCGAGGATCATCCTGAACACGTTTTCGTCCGCACGAAGACAGGGTATTTGAGGTCTAGCTTCTTATTCTATATGCATGAGCTGCGTGAGTGGTATCACCGTCTCCCATCTCAGCCTAGGTCCGACCTGCCGCGTCCCCGGGCTCGCTTGCATGAGATGGCGCGCGATTGTTCGCCCGCGAAGGAGGATCCTCGTCGGACGCTTTACCGTAGAATTGCCGCATGGTTTCCAGCTATATCTCAAAGGTGCATGGATCGTTTCCTCATGACCTCATGTTTTGTCCTATCGTAAGCCCAGCCGTACATGCTCGCGGCAACCATGCGCATTTTGCGTCGTGGCCTCTGCACGACCAAGAGATATAGATCGCGCCCCGCAGGTTGTGCCTTGGGATGCCCAGTTCTTGGTGAGGGTGATCTTGACTCTGTCGAACACTACGTCTGTTGTCCTCGGCATGCTACTCTATTCAGATATTGGTTTGGTCCTCCATGTATTTGCTCGCCCTGGTTTCCTGAGGGTTCGCCCTGGCTCCCCCCCCCCCTCCCCCTACCTCCTGTTTTCACCGTCGCCAATGTCGTCGAATGTTCTCTTCTCTGCTTGTGTTGACGCTTTTGTTGCTCTCCACAATTGTCGTCGGCTGAGCACCCCTGGCACGCCTGAGCAACATTTCGAAGTTTGCCTCCGTGTCACCTCGAGGCGGCGCCGTGCTCTGGCACGTGCTTGGAGGCTGCAGGCAGCAGCGTGGTCATCTTCCTCCTCCCTCTCCTCCAGTGATGCGTTCGCGGCTGGCCAGCAGCAGCGACCTCGCCCAGGGCGGGCGGATGCCGTCGGCCGTTTGCAGAGTCGCTCTCGGGCTCGCGGCCGTTGGTAGCCCCCACGGATATCTGAGATATCTCCTTCGGGGGGGGCCCAGTTCAGCGCTGGCGCGAACTAACAAATGGGGGCCCTGATACGTTTTTACATATAGTCTATATATATATATATATATATATGTATATATATACTATATGTATTAAATGGGGGCGAAGACAGCCCACCATGGCCCCAAGAGACCCCAAGACGGCCCAAGAGGCGCCCAAGGCGAACCCGAGAGAGCCCAAGAGAGCCCCTACACGGACCAAGGGTGCCCCGAGAGGCCCCCGAAGGGGCCCCAAAAAGCTCCCCAGCGGCTCCCCGACGGCCCGCCTCGCTGGATTCGGCGCCTTCGGTGGGAGAACATCTCCAGAACAAACTTCAAAGGATCTGCTGCAGTAGGTGAAAGCGTCGCACCACCCAGCGCGCGCCACAAAACTTCGATCTGCTCAACTCCGTGGATTAAATCCACGGGTCCACACTAGTATATATTTTTATATATACATACATATAATATATATATATATATATATATATATATATATATATCACCATCTTACAGTCGGTCGCGATCGCACTCGAGCTTGGCCCGAAGAAGCGCAGGGCGGTGAGCAAGGCGAAGACCTCTCCGCAGCCAGCCATTTGCAGTGGGTGAGGCAGAGGGCTTCGGCTCGGCAGTGACATGTGGCTTCGGCCATTTCCATTCAAGGCTGGGGTTCAAGCATCTCGCCGAGCCGCCATCGTTTTCTGAATAGCCTCTGCCTGCCTGCACTACATATCCTAGATCGGAATCTCGTCTGAGGAGTTCCGATCCATCACAAAGATACAAAAGGTGTTTGGTGGACTCTGCTGCCTGCAAGCACCACTGGCGCAGAGGGTCCACAACTCAGCGATCTCCAAGCAAGGCCTGCAGAGTGGGAAAGTCACCTGCTCTCGCCGCGGCAAGTCTGTCTGCGGACGATCCTCTTCCTGATGCCCCAAGCTTTGCAAGATGCTTGACGATAGGCTGCAAACGTGGACCTGCCTGGAGACCCTGCATATACTTCCTTTTCCTCCCAATCCCTGGATCAATCTGCGCCCCGTGCTGGAATTCGAATCATGCGAAAAGTGCGCTTGCCGTACTCACGGGGGCTGATCGGGACGCCATCGTCTGAAACCCACGCGTTCCAAGCGGAGATGCCCCATCCAAGTCTTCGTAGAATGCAAATGACAGCGCCTGATGGGCTTCGCACCTTCTACCAACCGCCGCCGGCGATACTCATGAAAGCTTCGAAACAACCACGCATGATCTTCTCGGGTACCCAGCGCTGCTGTGGAGCTTGGATCCAGGGAAGAACCGGTCCAGAATTGGCAATATTCTCGGGGTCCACGAGCGGGCCGGGTCCCAGGAGGAACTCCAGAGTCCGAGAGCGGCCTTGGGGGGTTCCAACCAGCGCTTGGCCCATCTGGGCCCTGAGCTCGGTGACCCGCTTGTCAGAGAGGCCGACCACAAGGGTACCAGACAGGGTTGCAGGAAGGGCTCCGACGCGAACGATTGAAGCCGCCCCTCTGAAATCCGTAAAGACGCGGACGAAGCTCCCTTATTCCGGACATCTGGATTTGGGAGGCCCTCCCGTTTGCCTTTACAATCCACGCCAAAGTTCTTCGACGACCCACTGGTAACAACATCCCACTCACCTCAGCGCGTCTGGATCCCAGCTGCTACTACGCTGCTGGACGAGAAGATGATTCCCTGCTCCCCAGGGACCCAGTGGCTGGTAGCCTCTTCAAGCGCTGGCACACAAAACGGGCGGCCGCGCCGACTGGGCCGCCCAGCCGCGCGGCCGACGCGGAGGCACAGAGGGCCAAGTCGTCGACGAAGGTGGATATCGAGACACTCGGCCAGTGCAGGCGGGCAGCTTTGCGAGGCACAGTCGATATCAATGTCATCAGAGTGGCGGCCCGAGCACCGCCCGCGGTGATGTCCTGGTCCACTGGAGCCACACTGGAGACCAGTGGCCCTTGCTGCAGCAATCTGGAGCAACGATGCCAACGCGGCAGCAAGCGCAGTCTGACCAAGGGGAACTCGTGACGAATTGCAGCCATAACTAGTGGATATTGCGAGACTGTCTCGTACGCCTTGGTCAAGTCAACCAAGGCTATTGCTGATGGTATGCCTTTGTTTGCTGTGCATTTATCCTGCTTAGCTTGCTCCCCAATAGCTCGTTCGCAACTGCGTCTTCTGGAACCACATTCAGCTTCAACCCGAGACAGTTTCCCAAAGATCCTGCAGAACCTTGGTAAGAGCCCACTTGGCCTGAAGCCAGCATTTGGACGAGGAATGAGGGCAACGAGGTTGAGAGCGATGACCGAGAGAACGTGGCCTATCATTTCGGCACAGTGCCAAAGCAAACCTAAAGTAATTAAAGGAGCGCGGGTCTGGCGGTCGCTTCGGCGCCCTTCTTCGGCGCGAAGAAAGAAACCAGAACCGGAACCAAAACCATAGCAGAAAAGGGCCGAAAGAAAACAAACCCAAACCGGAACCAGAACCGGAACCAGAACAAAAACCGGGATTTCAGGGGCCCTCCGAACCAAAGAAGAAGACGGAAGCCGGAACTTGAACAGGAATTGGAACCGAGGTTTTCTCCGGGACGCGGAAGAAGAAGGAAGCCGGAACCAAAACCAGAAAAATAACCAAAACCAGGATTTGAGGCGTCCTTGGGCGCAAAGAAAAAGAAGAAGGAAGCCGGAAACGGAAGCGGAACAAGAATCGGAACCGGAACCACGACGACCGTCACGGACTAAAGAACAAGAAGGAAACCAGAACCAGAACCGGTACCGGAACCAGAACCGCGACCCGAGGTGTGTTTTTTGAGACCCCGAAGTAGAAGGAAACAGGAACCAGCCGGAGAAGAAGGACACCGGAACCGAAACCGGAACCAAAACCGTGATTTTGGGACCCCGCGAAGAAGGAAATTGGAACCGGAACTGGAAACGAAACCAAAATTTGAGGGGTGGGACACCGGAGAAGATGGAAACCGGAACCAGAACTGGATCCGGATCCAAAACAGTAATTTTGGGGGGTCGTTTTTGTGACCCCGAAGAAGAAGGAAACCGGAACCGAAACTGGAACCAAAATCGCGACCGAAGGTCTTTTTTGAAACCCCGAAGAAGAAGGAAATCTGAACCAGAACCGAAACCAAAACCAAAACCGTGATTTTAAAGGTTTTCTTTGGGACCCCGAAGAAGGAAACCGGAACCAGAACCGGAACCTCCTCCAGCCAGCTCTCCCCCACCCAGCTCTCCTCCCCCACGTGTCCTCAGCGAGCCAGAAGGACTACACGAACGGGGCGCTCTCCTCGCTCGTCGACGTCATCATCGAGGAGGGGGCGTCCCTCTTCGTGGCCGCGATCGGCGTGCCGCCGAGGTTTGTCGTGGACAAGCTGCACGCTGCCGGCATCCCGGTGATGAACATGATCGGCTCTCCGAACCACGTCCAGAAGGCTCGCCGCAGGGCGAGGAGGGGCGGCACGAGTGGAGGGGCAGCGGGTGTCACGCGGTGCCACGGTGCCATCGCGCTCCAGCTCAGCACCGCAGAGATCAGGGCTTGCCCATGCTGGCTCAGGCAGGCCGTTCCTGGATCAGTCCATGCAGGCTGGGCTTAAGTCGGGGATGTCCCTCTACAGGAGGAGTGTCCAAAAGTTGTAAAAAGATAGTCTGGGGACGATGTTGGAATATGTTTCACGATTTTTGAATAGTTTTGTTTTTCAGATTTCCTCCAAAATCCGCCTGCAGGGGGACATGCCCGACCTAAGGCTGGGCTCAGGCCGTCGTGATGGCATCTCCTTCTGAATGTTTGGATGTCAGACGTCCAGAGAGGGTCTGGAGGGGGTGCTTTTCCCTTCGAAGTGGCAACCAAGAAATGTGGCCAGGCGGAGCAATGGAGCGCAGCCCTGCAGATGCTCCGCGACGGAATCCGATCAGGTGGCAAAGTCCTCCGGGGCCAGTACATTGCAACTGTGAGCGCATGCAGAAAAGGCGGGCAATGGCAACGGGCACTGGTGCTGCTCAGCGAGATGGGGGAGTCGAAATTGGAGCCCGATGTCATCAGCTATAACGCTGGGATCAGCGCATGCGAGAAGGGCGGGCAGTGGCAGCGGGCTTTGGCGCTGCTCAGCGAGATGCGGGACTCGAAGGTGGAGCCCGACATCATCATCATCATCATCATCATCATCATCATCATCATCATCAGCATCATCAGCATCATCATCATCATAATCATCATAATCATCATCATCATCATCATCATCATCTTCATCATCAACATCAACATCAACATCAACATCAACATCATCAGAATCATCATCATCAGCAGCAGCATCATCCTCTTCCTCATCAGCAGCATCATCCCCATTAAAACCCAAAACAATGAGTTTGTATGATGATGCTGATGATGATGATAATGATGATGATGATTATGATGATGATGATGATGCACCTTCATCGATGCAGCGAGGTCAAAAAAAACAAATCATCAGCATCATCAGCAGCAGCTTCAGGATTATCAGCATCATCAGCATCAGCATCAGCACTATCAGCAGCAGCTGCATCATCAGCATCAGCATCATCAACAGCATCAGCAGCATCAGCAGCAGCACCATCATCATCATCAGCAGCGTCATCATCATCAGTATCATCGTGATCTGTATCATTGTCATGATCAGCATCATGCCAGGAGCGCCGTGTGTCAGAAGGGTGCCAGGACCAGGCTTGATCCTAGCTTAGTGTGTGTTGCTCGACGGCGTGCGCTCTTCTCTGTGCCATGTTGGCCAGGCGTGTCGTTGGTAGTGTTTCGAGTCCGTGCAATGCAGTCGTGTCTTCCAGGGCAACGCGGGAGCCAGCGCCTTAGAGGAGGCGTGCGATGCATTGGGAGAGGTGTGGAGGTAACAACTACAACAATCATGTGACATTCACGCGCCATGCGTCTACATGTTACATGCACCCATCATGGTGCAGCCCCTCTCGGGAGAACGAAATGAAAAGGGGGAACGATATTCCCACACAAAGATCTCCCGCCCACACAGCACCTCTCCCGTGCCACTTTCCCACTGTCAGCGCGCACGACACATACAAAAACAGCGCGATTATGGGGAGCGGTCAGAACTCGAAACACGAAGGATTCGAGCCCCAGGACAGGAGTAATATTTAGGAGCGTACGTAGAACACTAAGGATTCAAGCGCCAGTCGAAGGGCAGTCTACAGGAGCACACGTAAAGCAAGAAGGATTCGAGCCCCGAGCCAAGGGGCAGTCTGTAGGAGCATGCGCAAAACACTAAGGATCATAGCCCCGGGAGAGGTGCAATCTATAGAAACACGCGTCAACAAACAAAACATTCGAGCCCCTGGTAAGGAGCGGCAAAGCCTACGGGGGCGAAGCCTACGGGTGACCGAACACAGAAAATGGCCTCCTGGGGCGTCCTGGGGGCGGGAGGGCCGAAAAGCGCTCCCCGAACGAAGTCCCACGCGAGAGCACGATTCCTGCATAACTTGTCAGGATGTCCCGCGCGAGAGCTCGATTGTGGAGCAAAACGGGACCCAAGAACACAGTTTACGCATAAAGGTTGTCCCTGATAACGAACCGGGTTCGACCCCTGGGGGGGCTTTTAAATTGAACAAAAATATATGCACCAGTGGGGGGATCAACAGTCATTATTCTTCAAGAGCGAAGGCTCAACAGCACCACCAACATCATCAATCACATAAACAATAAAAACAACAACAACCACAATAACAAGTGAAGTAACAACGACAAACATCAGTTTAACACTGTTCGGTCTTAGTTGCTCGCGGGCATTCAAAACGCACATCCCTAACCTCGATACCCGCTTTCTGCGTCTTTGATTGATCGTACCCCCGTTCGGGATCGGTCTTCCCCACCTGCAGAGCGCGGGGGTTGCAGCCTTCAAAAAAAGGGGAGGGAGGATGGGATGGACAACGGGGAGAGCGAAGGATGGAACACGAGACAGATTAGCAGGGGGGGTCAGAAACAGATCAAGAAAGCCGCAAAGTCAGACGGGCATATCAGGCGGGGGTCGGCCGGGCGGGCTCCGACGGCGGGGTCGAGCGGGAGGGTCGGTGAAGCGTCAGTCCTGTTCGGATCGCGAGGAAGTTCTGAGCGATAGCGCGATTCCAGAGTACATTGTCAGGTGATTACTGAGTGTTGGGGGCGGGGCGTTTCAATACATGGCGAGGAAGTCCCAGGCGAGAGTGCGATTCCTGTATACACTATGCGGAAGTCCGGGGGCAGCTGTTCTTGTCCAAGGACCAGGGGCACAGTTTGAGGCGCAACAGCTTCTCTCCGGTATGAACAACAGGGTGCGAGCCCCAGGATAATCATCTTATTTGACAGACATTATGGGCACCACGGGATGGGGATCAACCGCAATTATTGTTAATTGTTTTAAGATTGAGCCATTTGAATATTGTTCGCTCTCATCTGCCTGCGTGCCATTCAACATGTCTGTCCCAATCCCTGATGCCCGCCCTCTTTGTCTCCGATCGTACCCCCGTGGGCGCATATATTCCGTACTCGCCACGTGTAGCTGGCGCAGCCTCTAATCAGGGGAAGGGAGGCAGGAGGGAAGGGGGAGGGAAGGGGCAGAGAGAAGTGAGAAGGATGAAGCACGACAGAGATTGGGAGGAGGGGAGTTAGGAGCAGGAGAACACGCGGCAGAACCAGACGGGCGGGCTGGGTGGGCAGACCCTATCGGGCGGGTCGGGCGGGCGGGCCCAGACGGCGAGGTCGAGCGGGCGGGTCGCTGAAGCGTCTGTTTTGTACGGATCGCGAGGAAGGTCCGGGCGATGGCGCGATTCCCACGGAAACTGTCATGGCATCCAAAACCAGAGCGTGATTCCTCAGTGTTGGGGGCGCGGCTGTCAAGAATGGCGAGGATGGCCCACGCGAGAGCGCGAGTTTGGGATAGATTGTGAGGAAGTCCCGCGCGATGTTTGTTGTAGGTCGGGGGCCGGAAGCGCATTCTGAGATTCAAGATGTCTTATATGAATCGAGTGCGAGCCCAGGGAGGGGCATTCCAATTGAAAACCATAAAATGCACCAGAGGAGGGGGATCAACAATATTTATGTGTTTGAAATGGAAACTCATCGATTTGAAGACAATGTGCCCTTATCTGCCCGCGTGTCACTCAGCATTTGAGTCCCGGTCCCTCGATACCCGCCCCCTACTTCTTCGATCGAACCGTACCTCCCTTTGGGACACACCTTCCTTACCTGCCACGCGTAGCTGGCGCAGCCCTTGAACCAAGGAGGAGGGAAGTCGACTAGACGTAAGAGTTACCTTTCGCCGGAGTGACCTTTGGTGCGGGCACAGATGAGTCCCCAGGTGGCTGAAAACGAAGCAGTAGCAGCTGGTTGCGCGCCCAGGTTTGGCCCCCCGCGGCCCCAAAAAGCTGCGCACCAAAGGTCACTCTTACCCAGGGTCACTCTTGCGTATAGCCGAGGAAGGGGCAGGAAGGGAGAAAGAAGGATGGAGCACGACGCAGATTAGCCGGAGGGGAAGTCGGAGCAGGAGAGCACGCGGCAGAGCCAGACGGTCGAGAGACGGGTGGGCGGACCCTAACAGGGCGGGTCGGGTCGGCGGGCCCAGACGGCGGGGTCGAGCGGGCGGGTCGCTGAAGCGTCAGGCCTGCATGGATCGGGAGGAAGTCTTCGAGCGATATTGCGATGTCCTAATACTTCGCGAGGAGGCCCTCCAGAGCGAGAGCTTGACTCCTGAGCTTCGCGGGCGCGGCGCTTCAATACATCACGAGGAAGTCCCATGCGAGAGCGCGATTCCTGTTTGACTTGTGGGGTAGTCCCGCACGAGAGCACGATGTTCCCCAATCAGTGCGTACACTGAAGAGTTCTTAGCGGATCTTGAAGGACTTGGCGACAGTTAGCGGCCGATCTCGGTTGGCCGCCGGGCTCCGAGGTTCTTGGTTCCAGGTTTCCGGGTTCTTGGTTCCAGGTTCCGAGCCGATTTCGTTGGGCGGCGGGGTTGCCAGGTTGTTGGGTTCCCGGGTGTTTGGTCGATCTCTTTACTGATCAGTCTCACCATCGATCTCATTACCCACCTCTCTATCGATTTCATTGTCGATCTTACAATCGATCGAAGTACAGATCGCACGAGCGATCCCACGATCGATCTCACCCTCGATCTCATTGAATCGACGTCACTATCGGTCTCACGATCGGCCGTTATAGCGTCCTCACTTTCGATCCCACATTCGATTTCGTTATCGATCCTACAGTCGATCTCAATGTCCATATCATGAATTCATAAGCCATCCACTGCTTGGGTTTTCTTTGGTGTAATGTGTAAACTGTCAGGACGTATCAGGCGGGAGCTACTGTTGTTGTAAACCGAAGGCCCGGGGTACAGAGTAGGGCGCAAGGATCAAACAGGGTGCGAGCCCCCGGAGGGGCTCTTCAATCGAAAAATGCGTGGTGCACCCGAGGAGGGGGATCGACAATAGAAATAAGAACTCAACAGAAATAATGCCAGCATCAGATGACCACACATCGGCCCGACGGGCCCCGCCGCGTTCCCGGGTCCCCCCCCGGCGCCCGAGGACGGCCTATAGGAGGGCCCCAAGAGTGTTCCGAGACGTTCTAAGGGAGGCTCGGGGGTGGACAGACCTCCTACCCTGACACGTCGACTAAGGAGTTTGCCGTTTTCGGCTCGCGAGAGGGCGTCGCGGCCGTCATTTTTGCCGGTCCAGGTCTGTCGGTTTCGGTCCCAGGCCGTTTTCACCAAGGGGAGGTTTACTAAAGGGAGGTTTGTACACCGCCGAGAGGCGCTGGACCGCCCGAGAGGGCTCCAAGACGGCCCCAGAGAGCTCCAACGAAGCCCAAAAGCACGCCCCAGGGCGGCTCCGGAGTGCCTCCCGACGGTCCAAGGGCCCCCAGCGCGCCCCCAGACGGCTCGAAGGGGACCCTCGAGAGGGCACCAGATGGTTGTTGTCAATGATGCCTGCACGCTCGGTTTTCTTAGATCGGGCCGGACGAAAGGGGGGGATTGGGAAAGGGGGGGTTACGAAATTTGCTGTATGCAGCTGGTTTCGGCCCCACCGAGGGGCCCATTCCTCGATACATAGCCGCCTCCGGCGCCAGGAAGATCAGCTACGTGAGCTGATTCTCACCCCCCCCCTTTGCTATCACCCCTTTTCGCCCGACCCGATTAGAACACCGAGCGCGCATCTGTTCTCAATGACATTTGCAGTTTCGACTTCCTCAGAACACCGAGCGTTGTTGTCAATGACGCCTGCACGTTCGGCCTCCTTAGAATACCGAGAAAAGTGTTCCAGTCTTTGGACGCTCGGTCTTCTTAGAAAACCGAGCGTCCCAAGTTTAGAACATTGGTCCACAGTCTCTGGACGCCCAAGACGGCAAAGGAAGCATCCGAGATCGACCCACGACGGCCCAAGGAGGCCCTCGAGAGGGCCCCTACGACGGACCGCCGCGAAGATGGCTTCAAGCCGGCCCCAAAGCGGCTCCGAACGCCCCAAGATGGCCCCAAGACTTGCGGAGGACGATCAATGGAGAGGAAGCATGTAGCCAAATAATTCCCAGACTTCTAAAAATGAGTCAAACATGGGTTAAACATGCAAAAACATGCTTACAACATGTTAAGCATGTTTCAAACATGCTAAACACATGCTTAATTCAATTATAGGATTGTCAGGGTGTCTATTGTCATGGCGTCCACAACCCAAGACGCACCCCCCGAACGTCCCCAGATCCATCCAACACGGTGGTCCCAAGGGCCGCCCAGGCGGCTCCAGGAGGCGCGGGAGAGCCCAATGCGAGCCCAAAGAGCCCCAGATAGGCCCCAAGGGGGCTCCGAACAAAAACTTAAGGCGACCCCGGGAGACGACCCGAGGGGCCCTCCTTCACGAGGCCCCAAGAGACCCTCAAGAGGTCCCTCCCTCCTCCCGCCTCCTCCCACCTCGGCTCTCTCTCTCTCTCTCTTTCTCTCTCTCTCTCTCTCTCTTTCTCTCTCCTCCCTCCTCGCCCCATCTTTCCTCGGCCGTCGCTGATCGCTCTTCGCGCTTCGCTGATTGCTCTTCGCTTCTCCCCACTCTCGCTCCTGGATCTTCTCCTGGCAGAAGGTTGTGCCAGCCAGGCTGAAGGCGCGGGAAGGTGCGCCGTGCAGTAACAGCAGCAGCGAACGGGAGTTGCACGCAACACGAAGGGGCAGCAGAAGCGGCTCTACACAGCAACAGCGAAGAGCAGCAGCAGGCAGCGGGCAGCAGCACGCGCCAAGCTGAACTTGGCTGCAGCAGGGCGATGCAGCCACGAGCACCAACAGCACGCAGCGGCGGCAAGCATTACCAGCAGCACGCAACAGCGGCAGCAAGCAGCAGCACGCCGTAGCTCGCGCGGACTGCGAATGTTGACTCCCCTGGCAGCATTCCAGCCTCTCGGCAGTACGTCCACCATCACATGCCAGTCGGCCTAGACTTCGTGGACGTAGCCCATGCAGTCAGCTTTAACGCCGGGATCAGCGCCTGCGAGAAGGGCGAGCAGTGGCAGCGGGCTTTGGCGTTGATCGGCGAGACGCGGGAGGCGATGCTGGAGCCCGACTTCATCTCTGCTACGCTGCCAGGGCCTACGCGTGCCAAACGACAATCAGTGGCGATGGGGCCGCCCAGCCCCCCAGGGTCATCGGAGCTCCGTGCTGGTTCCAGCGAGGCGTCGAGCCGCCCCAGCACTGTGACCTCCAAATGGCCACCAGGATGGCTCCAGGATGGCCTCCGGGTGGCCCCCAGGATGGCCCCCAGATGACCTCCACACGGCCCAACAGGGCCCCAGGAGGGCGCCAGGAGGCCCCCGAAGAGAGCCCCGCCAGGCCAACATGAGTGAGTCCCTTGAGGCCGTGAAGAATGTTGACGTTCTCGCCTTCTCGGCCCTCCGACGCTCCAAGACGGCCCCAGAGACGCCCCCAGCATCGCCCCGGGACGGCCCCCGACAACCAAGAAGGGTTGAATTCGAGCTGGCATGCCGCGCCCTCCGCCGCAAGATGATCCCCGAGACCGCCTGCGGGCCCCCACGAGGCCCCCCAGAAGCCCCAGGAGGCCCAGATCAGGCCCCAGGAGGGCCCCGAGAGGCCCCCGGAGAGGCCCCAAGGCACTTCCAAGACCACCTCCTCCGAGGCTCCCGCGAAAAGACGCCTCAGAGAGCTCCTGGGGCCGCGCCGGCCCCCCAAGAGAGCCCCAGGAGCGGCCCGAGAGGAGGCCAGACGTTGGGCCACGCGCGCGCCGAGGCAGTTGAGGCCATCCTGTGCGAGCCGCTTCTCATGCCTCCACCAACCGCTCCTCGCTCTCCTCGCCGCTCTCTCCTCGCTCCTGGCTCCTCCTGTCTCGCTCTTCCCGGCTCCTCCCACCTCTCTCCCGGCCCCGTCGCTCCTCCCTCTTGGATGCCTGCGCGCGCCTCCCCCCTTCACGTCGGCTCGCTCTCATCCCTCCTTGCCTCCCTCTCTCTCTCTCTCTCTCTCTCTCCTCGGCCGTCGGTTCTCCCTTCTCGCTGCGTGCTCCTCGCTGGTCGCTCCTCGCTTCCCACACCTCCCCCCTCGACCCTGACCCCTGGCCCCTTGCTCATCGCTCCTCGGTCCACTCACGAGCTGCAGGCTGCGTCAGCTGGCAAGGGCATCAAAAAGCAGCACTGCAGCTTCGAGCAGCAGCTCCGAACCAGCAGCAGTCCGCAGCAAGCAGCTGCAGCACACAGCAAACGTGAGAAGTAGCAACAACATGCCACGGGCAGCGGCAGCCTGCAGCTGGAGGCAGCAGCAGGAGAGGCGAAGTTCGGGCCCAACGCCATCACGAAAGTCTTTCTGCAACAGATCTCCCCTCACCGTGCCATCTCGGACGTGTTTCGTGGCCGGTAGGCCACGGGTCAGCCCCAGTCAGCTACAGCGCTGGGATCAGCGCGTGCGAGAAGGGCGGGCAGTGGCAATTGGCCGTGGCCCTGCTTAGCGAGATGCGGGAGGTCACACTGGAGCCCGACGCTATCAGCTACAACGCTGGGATCAACGCGTGCGAGAAGGGAAAGCGGTGGCAGCGGGCCTTGACTCTGCTCATCGAGATGCGGAAGGCGAAGCTGGAGCCCGACATCATATGTACTACAATGCCCGTTCGCAGCGCGTGCGAAGAGTGGGGGGGAAACAACAATCTGGCCTGGAGCGCCCCTGGGACGCTCCCCGACGGGCCCAGAGGGTCGCCACATGGTCCCTAAACGGTCAGACAGCCCGAAGGCAGCTCTGCAATGCGCGGGAGGGCGCGAGGACGTCCCAAGAGGACCCCAGCGGAGACCCATGACGGCCCCAGAGGGCACGATGACAGGCCAGGAGCCTCCAAAGAAGGCCCAAGAGGACCCCGATGACGAGGCCAGTCGCACCCTGCGCCCCAAGGTGACCCCCGAGACCGCCAGCAGACTCCCAAGAGGCCCCCCAGGAGGCCCCCAAGAGGACCCAAGATGCCCAAATCGGGTCCCCGAGAGGCTCCAAGACACCCCCAAAACAACCTCCAAGAGGCATCCGAGGGAAGATCCCTTACAGAGCTCTGTGACCGCGCTGGCCACCCAAGAGTGCCTCATGAGCGACCCAAGAGAAGACCCGATACTCGACCACACGCTCGCGGAGGCCATTGAGACATGCGTGTGATGGCCTCTTCTCATGCTTCCCTTCTCGCTCCGCGCTCCTCGCTCCTGGCTCCTCGCCTCTCCCGGCGCTCTCCTGGCCCCTCGCTTCCTTCTCCTCGCTCATGGCCCCTCGCTTCTCACTCTTCCTCGCTCATTCCACCTCTCTCCTGGCCCCTCTTTTCTCCCTCCTGGCTGCCGGTGCCTGCCTCCCTCCTCCTCTTCGCCTCTTCCTCATCCCTCCTCGCCATTGAGGCCCACGTGACGCTCATAGCCTCGATGGTGGTCACAGCTACTTGACGCCTTCTGGTGGATAGTGGACTCCTGATATCATTTACGCAAACAGTGACTCTCTCTCTCTCTCTCCTCGGCCGTCGCTCCTCCCTTCTCGTTCCGTGCTCCTCGCTGATGGCTCTTCGCTACCCCCACCTCTCCCCTCGTCCATGATTCCTCGCTCCTCGCTCCACGAGCCGCAGGCTGCGTCATCCAGCAAGCGTACCAGGAAACAGCACTCTTCAGCCTCAAGCAGCAACAGTAAACAACAGCAGTCCGCAGCAGACAACGGCAGCATAGCAAAGTAGACAGCAGCGGCAACATGCCGCAGGCAGCAGCGGTTTGCAGCCGCAGGCAGCAACAGCCGAGGTGAAGATCGGGCCCAGTAATCACGAAAGCCTTTTTTCGGCAACCAACATCTCTGCCATGGTCCAAAGTCCCATCTCGGACCGATGCAAGCAGCAACAAGATGCCAGCAGAAACAATCGGCAAAGAGAAGCACCAATACGCAGCAGCGGCAAGCATTGCCAACAGCACGCAACAGTGGCAGCAAGCAGCAGCCCGCGGTAGCATGCGCGGACATCATCATGTCAGCCTTTCGGCAGCATGCCCACAACCACATGCCAGCTCGTGCAGATTTCGTGACTGGCAGGCCACGGGTCAGCCTCAGTCATCTCATACACGGCCAGTAAAAGCGCTTCCGAGAATGGTTCACGCCTCGTGAGCAAAACCGCCCCTTTAGGGCGCCACCACGGGGCCGAATCGCTCAGGCTGGTCCCAGAGGCGGTCCAGAGGGGTCCCAGACCGTCCAAGAGCGCCCCAAAACGGCCTCAGTGGGTCCCGAGACGGCCCACGAGGGCCGGAAGCCTTCCGGGGGGGGGCTCCACGACGATCCAAGAGGCCGCAAAGACGCCCCAAGAGGGCCCCGAGCGCACGCCAAAGAGGCACAAATCGTCAAATTCCTATGGGGAAACGTATATTTTCAGCATGCCCGCTTTGTGCGCTCCTCAGCGGCCCAGGACGCGCCAAGAGGCCTCCCAAATCGCCCCAAGGAGACGCCAGCGGCCCCTAAGAGGGCTCCAAGACGGCCCACAAGAGCCCCAAAACGACGCTTGAGAGCCTTGAAACGGCCTCACAGAACCCCAAGACGGCCCCAAGACAGCTCCGAGGGGGCCCCAAGAGGTTCCCAAGACGGCCTCAGGCAGCCTCAATAGAGCTCCAAGACGGTCCAAGGCCTCCCGGACGCCCCGCGACTGCCCAAAAAGGCCCCAAAACGTCCCAACACGCTCGCAAAGCAGCCAAACAAAAAATCAGAATGGCCCGAAAAAGACCCCCACAAGGACCACCAAGCAGGCCCAGAGACGCCCACTGAAAGAGAGACTGGTGAAGTACAAAGCTCTTCTCACCAAGGCTCCCAAGAGCAAGACGCAGCGTAAAGAGCTCTCCCAGGCACAGCTTCCAAGAACGAGCGGTGACGTCGGGACACCCTTCCGACCTCTCACACAGGAGCACGCACGCACAGCACGCAAGCACAAAAGATGTCCTGGGCTGTCCCCCGGAAGAGGCTCGGGGGGACAGCCCGGGAACGGCGCCCCAAAGAAACTTCAAGAGAAAGCCCACAGGAGGCCGCAAGACGGCCCAAGAGGGCCCCAAGAGGCCCCTAGGTGGCCGCAAGACAGCCAACGAGGCCCCAACAGGCCCCCAGGAGCTCGAAAAGAAACCCCGAGAGGCCCACTAACCGTTCCCGACGAGACGGCAGCGCCCGCCATCAGGCTTCGAAGAGGCAACCGGGAAAAAAAGTCACCAGAGCTCTCCAGGTGATTTTTTTCAAGGAACCAGGTGCTTTCAAAATTGACCAGCGGCGAGACGTACACCGCAGACCCACCATAGTCGTCTGTGACGCTCCGAAAGCTGTCTAGGCGGAGGTAAAGCGGAAGGCGGACGAAGAGAAGGAAGCGGTCCAAGAGGGCCTCCGAGACGGCCCAGACCGCTCGGAGACGCTCTGAGGTTTCTTCTATGGTTTCTGAAAGATTTCCACCTTCTTGCCATTTCGAGCGAGGACAGGCCCAAGACGGCCTTTTCGAGCCAAGGCTGGTCCAACATGACGTGGACGAAGTCCACGGGTTCGCCTTAATCAGCTACAACGCTGGGATCAGCGCGTGCGAGAAGGGCGAGCAGTGGCAGCGGGCCTTGGCCCTTTTCAGCGAGATATGGGAGGCAAAGCTGATGCCCAGCGTCATCTAGTCTACAATACCGGGAACAGCGCCGGCGAGATGGGAAACCCGCAACTCCGCCCCGGGCGGCTCGGCGGTCCCTGGGCGGGCCTCGACCTTCGCCGTCGCTCCTGGGGCGGCCGCGGACCGCCCAGGCCACCCCTGAGACAGTCAAAGAGGGCGCCTGGACGGCCTCAAGAGGGCCCCCAGCGAGCCCCAGGACGACCTCAGGCCCGAGACCTAGACAGGAGGCTCCAAAACCGCTACAACGGACCCCAATGACAGCCACATTGGGCCGAAATCCTAACTTTTCCGCAGGTTTTTGGCTGATTCCCAGGTTCCTCCCACTTCGACCCAGAAACGGCCCCAGACAGGTCCAGGGGCCGCCCTGCTCGCTTGCACAGGGTCCAGGAGGCGTCGAACAGTGCCCCCTGGACGGCTCCAGGCGGCACAAAGACGGCCCAGTCTGCCTGCCCGCCCGCCCCGCCGGCCCTGGCCTCCTGCCTGGGCGTTCGTCGTCGTCTGCCTGCTTCTCCCCTCCTCGCCCCCTTCCGCCGGACAGCGCTGCCTGCACGGAACCAGCGTGGCGGCATGTAGGGCTTCGGCATCCAAGCACGGTCTCGCCACACGCGCGGGGACCGAGGGGGTTGGGATAACCCTCAGCCCGCGACCCAGTGCAGCCCCGCGTGCCCCCCCCGAGGCAGCCCCAAGCAGGCCCCAAAACGTTCTCAAGAGGGCCCCGAGCAGCCTCCGGCACGGCCCACGGCCCCCAGCAGGGCCCCAAGACGGCCCAAGAGGCCCCCAGGACGGGCCACGACAGGCTTAAGTCGGGCCCGTCCCTCTACAGGAGGAATATTCAAAAATAGTCTGGGGATTTTTGTTTTGAGTATTTTTGCTGCCATTTTGGATTATGTTGGGGGTACTTTTAATTTTTCGTCGAAACTCCTCCTGTACGGGGACGCGCCCGACTTAATGACAGGCGTGGCCTGGCCCACGGGCCCCCACATGCCCCAAAGAGGTCCCCCGGAGGCCCCAAAGGGTCCGAGGAGGGCCCAGACCCTACAGTCAACCCGCACAGTGAGGATGGGCAAGCTTCCCAGGGGTACCCTTGCCTCCTTGCCCTTTCGGTCCATCCTTGGCCACGTTCGTTGGCCGCGCCCCGCTCGAAAAGTTTCGAAATGGGCATCGAAGGCCCTTGCACCCATATCGCGCATCCTTATGATACGGGCGACTGTACGTGCCACGGTGTGCGAGTCCCAGGATCAGCACTCCGTAGCGCCGAAATCCCGCACGGGCCGGTGGGCCCCGCGCACCCACGGGGCCCAGGCGCGACCGCCACGCTCCGGCCCACTTGCACGAGGACGGCGAGCAGAGCATTCCGCTCTCGCCAACAGCAGCATAGGCTACCAGCGCAGGAGCGGTTGCCGCAGTTGCTGCCGCCGCTGCCGCTGGCCTCCAGATGTCGACGTCGCCGTCGCCGTCGTTTTCGTCGTCGTCGTCGTCCATTTTGGTTCAAGGCACTTCTCGGGGAACAGGTCCTCGTTTTATGCACCCTCGTCCGTGTTTCGCTGTCTCTGATCGCCTCTCATATTGTGCAGGCAGACCCGCCTTTTGGGTCAGATGTTCACTGGTCTCCCCGCGATGGCTTCTGCTTCCTCCTCAGGAGACCATCGGCCCGCTGCAGCCACAGGCTTCATCGCTCATGGCTCCGCTGTTCCAGGTGCCGCTGCCGCAGGACAGGCCGCTCCTGGAACTCCTCTCGCTGTCGCTGCTCCCGAGGTAGCCGCCGCGAAGAAGGCCCGCGTAGGAGAGCACCCTGGCATGGAGGAGGATGACGTTGAGACAGACAATGAAGATCTACAAGGTTTTGCGGGGCCCCCCTTCCGAGGTGTTGAAACAGCCTGCCCAGCTTCTTGAAGGTCTGGAACCAGGTGAAGTACGTCTCTTCCGCGCCCTAACGGCCGATTTCCGCAACGTCATGTCCACGTCCATCTCACCGATCGAGAAGAAAGTCAACAAATGCATAGTCAAAGTTAATAAGACCGCCTCAACCGTTATCGACATGAGAAAGGATTTCGTGGGTTCGGCCGCCAGAGTTAGTGTACTGGAGAGTGGTGGAGGCGGGGGAGGAATTGGGTCCGCTGCTGGAGGTGCCCGTGCTGGTGAGCATCAGGGAAGCCATGGAGTCTCCTCGGATCCATCCGCGGCACCTCCTGCGTTCCGCACTCCTGTGAACAGGCGACAGACTTTGTGCATAGGTGGTCTCGAGTATACGGAGGGCTGTGACATCGCGAATAACATGAAGCAGACTTTGACCGAGCGCCAGATCCTGGGAGTTCACAAGGTTTGTGCTGTGGGTGGCTACGCGGACCCCGTCAAAGTGGAGTTCAGCGGCTCTAGAAAATTTGGGATTGTTTAGGTCGCATGAAGGGGAAGAAGTTCTCGTCAGTTCTAGCTAAGCAGGTGAGGGCACCTTGCCCGCTGAGACCCAAGCGCCGCCAGCTGTAGCACACAATCGACAAGTACCCAGAGGAGCTGGCCTGCCGAAGTCGGGCGACCTACGCGAAGGACCTTCTCAAACCAGCGCTGCAAGGCAAGTGGCCCACGCTCGCCGAAGAGGCCCTCAACTCCATGATTGATGCGACCAACGACGCGGGTTCGGTGATCACCCTCAGGAAGCACTCGCCCGACGAGGTGATGCCGCGGAACCCGCTGCAGGTATTCATGAGGAGCTCCCCGACCTTCCAGCTGCGCGTCTCTCAGGGTGCCCGGGCGCGGCTCGACGCCATCGGCATCCAGTGCACCTTCGAGCAACAGGTCGAGACCATCAATGATCCATTACGCCGTGGTGGGATTTGACTATCCCGAGGACCAGGGGTGCTCTCTTCCAGCGACAGCACTATCATCTTGTCTTAGAATTGCAGGGGCGTTCCAGTCAAGAGTGCCGCTCGGGGGCTGGATCACATGAGAGCGGAGTTCCACGGTGATATCCCACGCATTCAGGAAGTCACGGACGTTCAAAATTTTGACCAGGAAGAGATCTCGGGCCATCCAGTGTTCCTAGGGCCCCCCATGCGAGGGCGGAAAAGGCGCCCTGCGATACTGGTGCACACGTCGCTGAAGGCCTCCATCTCGACCGACCCTGCGCGACAGAGGAACGGCATCGCTGTGCGGACCCCAACGCCTCATGGCGGACTTCTGCGCATAGTGCGCGCCCACCTCGACTCCGATTCAAATCGTCGCGCTGCGTAGTTTCAAGATCTGGATGATTGTGAACGCTTTCTGTCTCTTCGGGCCCGAGAGTATCATCCTGTGCCGCTCGTTGATGCGAGCGCCTCTTTCGACGCGGACATGGCTCCAACTACCGCAATAGGCCTTTCATTGCTGGCTGTACCTCCTGGAAGTCGGACGCGCCTCGAGAGCCCATCTTGGCCCTGGGCCTCACGCTGAGCAACGCGCGGTGTAAGCCGAGCACGGGGGCGAGTACTTGTTTCTACGACGGCAAGTGCGGACCCCGCCAGATCGATTTCATAGCGGTGCGCTCCTCGATACCCCGTCTGTCTTACGATTGCCAACCTCGTCATTGTTCAGCGTGGAAGAGTAATCAATGCCCGCTCGCGCTCCGTTTCCACGCCTCTCGCGCCTGTCGCATTCGCCCCATCCCTGCGCCTAACATAGCCTGCGCGCTTAAATCGAAGCCAGCGGGCTCGAAGCTGCGCGATTCCTCGCGCGCCCGTCAGGTAGATTAGAAATTTTGGATTTTCGATCGCGCAAATCCTCGGCCCAGCCTCCTAGACGCCCGTTTCCGCATGTATAGCGGCGGGCAGCTTATGCAATATCTTAAGTCCCGAACGACCTGCGGTCGGGGTTTCGCCGTTTTCAATGGCCCCCCTGCCCCCCCCCCCCCCAGAGGAAAAAGAAGAAGAAAAAAAAAAAAAAAAAAAAAAAAAAAAAAAAAAAAAAAAAAAAAAAAAAAAAAAAAAAAAAAAAAAAAAAAAAAAAAAAAAAAAAAAAAAAAAAAAAAAAAAAAAAAAAAAAAAAAAAAAAACGCCCCCCGAAACTCCAGAGCCTCTGGAACCCGAGCCGATCCGATTTTCAGCACGCGTAGACATGTCCCTCTTGGCCCCAAAGAAGCCCCTGTCCTCGGGGCCGTTCGACATGCGAACGACGCCGCCGGGTTGACTGGCGCGCTGGAGATGGGCTCGCGGCTGCTGGGGCTCCTCTCCCAGCCCGGGCAGGCCATCATACCGCAGGGCGCCCCGTTGGAGATCATGTTCGGTTCGGCCTACGTCTTGGGAATATTGGAACACAGGTGCTGGCCGAAGAATAATGTCGCGCTTTCCATGCTGACTAGCTGCGCGCGGTCCCTGGTCGAGAAGTCGCATCGTGTTTTCTACGCGTGGATCAAGGGGCATTTCGGGGGGCAGGGGAAACGCAGCGGCGGATAAACTGGCGGAGGAGGGAGGGAGAAACCATCGCGGTCCTCAGGGGGGGGGGCCTATTCGCTGGCAATCCGATCGGCCCAACTCGATTCCAACCATGCAGAATTTTGAGTTCAAACAGCTTCTGGCTATTCCCGAGATCACGATAAACGAGACCCATTTTTTCCTCCAACGAGGCGCGGGCGAGGCCGCCAGTATCTCCCCGCATGCGTGGGCTGGGCTCCTGGACAAACCGCGCGAGACGCGATATGCGCCGCCGAACGGTTGCGCAGAGGATGCTCCGCCACCGCCCAGTGACGCTTCTCGCATGGACCGACATGGGGAGCCGTTGCCAACCTTGGGCACGTTCGCTTCGATGGTGGGTGGGTGTGGGGGGGGGGGGGGGGGGGGGGGGGAGGGGGGGTGCTGCGAAGTGCGGCAAAACATCGTCGACCGCCCCCCCTAGACTGCCCAAGGAGCACCCTTTGAGCCGCAGGATTGCAGTTTTTTCGGCAGGCCCGAGATGCGGAGGACGACCCGCCCGTCAAGCATGTGCTCAGCCTGCAGCTCGCGTCGCAACTGCGACAGCAAGCTTCTGCCACCCTAGAC